CTTCTGAACGTTGGCAGACAATCTCCACTTATCAGTAAACTTCTTCGCCGCGTCAATTTGCAGTTGCAGTCCCTCAGGGGTGTCCGGCATACCGACAAAACCATCCGCAAACAGCATTCCTGACACCGACGTTTCCGTGTCCCCTACTTTGACTCCCTTCCGGACTGCCTCTAAGACTTCCGACAGATCGTTGATGAAAACCTGGAACAATGTTGGGGACAGCGTGCAAACCTTGTGGGACACCCTGCTCAATGTCGAAGAATTTAGACAATCTCCGTCTAGCATGACCGCGCTTTTCGTACACTCTGTCATCTTCTTCAGCACTCTCCACATTTTCCCCTTGATCCCGTATTTGGACAGTTGTTTCCACAACCCATTTCTCCACACGGTGTCGTATGCCTTTTTCACGTCCAGGAAGAAGCAGTACGTCGGCTTTCCCGCCCTCTTTCTACCTTGGATGATTCTCCTTACCGTGAATGCGTGGTCTACGTACCCCCTATTCTTTGNCACTCCAAGTCTCTTGTAGTGTCCTGCTAGAACTTCCCTTTTTCCCTTCCCACTGCTGACTAATCCACCGTTCACACCTCGCAAAGTTGCTACCCCTGTATCCCCCCCTTGCGAGGTCTTTTTACCATTCCACTAATCCCTTCCCACATCTGCTTGACGTTCCCCTCCAGGCCTCCGTTGGCCTTCTGCACTACTTCATCCCAAATGCACTTCTTCTTCTTTTTCACTAGTCCCTTCACCTGTTTTCTCTTGGGGGGGTTGTTTTTAACGTGTCTTCTCCTTTCGTCGAGCAGGGGTTGTCCCTCCCTTCCTCCCTCCCTCCCTTCCTCCCTCCCCCCTTCCCTCTCTCCCTCCCTAGTTCCTTCCCGGCACCTGTGGCCCGAATGTGAAACGTTTTGGTTAGCCGGGATGCCCAGTCAACCCGTGGCATATCTGGTTTGGCACAGCAAACGCAAAGGATGATGACCAGCTTCTGGTTCATCCTTGTGAAACGTTAATGGCCTGGGCCGGTGAACACCCGGCATATCGCAACGTCTCGGCATTGTGGGGAAGCGAGGTCGTTGGCCTCACGACTACGGCATGCACGACCATGAGTACCCCCCCCCGTTCCCGCTGCGGCGGTCGATCGAGTCGGGTCCTCGTTTTCTTGCTTGTTGTCTCGCTCGTGTCGGGCAGGGGGCCCCGCCGTCTGCCTGCAGAGAACCACCACTCGCCGGGAGGTAAATCTCGCCTTCCTTGGCTGCAAGCCCTCCCTCCCTCCTACTACAAGCATGAATCACACAACCTCTCGCCGCTTGTCCCTGTTTCTTCAAAACACATGGCGCTTGAATCCCCCCCGCTGATCTTCCTTCGCTGCGAGCCTTTCCTGTCCCTCTACTAGCATGAGTCACACAACTCACCGCTGGTCCCTTCATTAAAAAAATACATGGCACTTGAACCCCTCCCTCCCCCTCCCCCCTTGCGGTCCTTTTTTTTCCGACGGTGGTGGAACTACAGGTGAAGAGAATATCGCAGCGGGCGGACGGCGCGCTGGCGGCCCTCGACGAAGCCGCCTCCCAGATACGGGACGCGACGGCGGGCGCCGCGGCAGAGAACGATCGCAACACTACTCCCTGCCAGGATGTGTGTGCTGCTTCTGCTTCTGGCTCTGGTGGAAGATCTTCTTCTTGAAGTGCTCTGCTTCTGCTTCCGAAAGATCGTTCGTTCTGCAAGTGCAGCGGCATCGCGAAATTAAACAACACAGTTTTGTTTTTTTTTCGAAAGCGTTATTTGTTTTACTCCGTGCCGTCGTTCATAGATTGTGTCACGTGCCGTCGCCCTATCTATTGAGTCGTCGCGCGCAGAGATCGCATGAGTTGGTCATTGTATTTTGTGTGTACCTCGCGTGTTGACCCCTCTGCTGCATGTCGACGGCTTCTCTTGTTAACCTGTAAACGTTCTTCTTGGGGTTGGTGCCTTGCAGCCCACCCGCTGTAAACGATTTGATATTCCCCCTTTCTGCCACGGGCAGAAGCGTGGGCTCTACGTCGGCGATTGTTTCCGTCCTTCTCAGCCGGCCAGAAAAAAGTGTTCCTGCGAATGAGAAAAGAGACGAGAATTTTTCGCTCGGTTGTTGTTGCGTGCAGAAGGTTTCGTGCGTGGACCTTTGCCTTGGCACGGAGGGCACGAAAGCAAGGGTGGCGAGTCCACGGCTAGCGCCTATTCAGCTAGACAATGGATGTTCAATAATAGCCGTGCTCCTCTGTGGTGATTTGTGTGGGCGAGGAGGAGAGTGGGTGCTGCCGATTGGAGAGGTCTCCGAGAGGTGGCTAGATTAATTACTTGTTGGGCGTGTGGTTTTCTCGTGTATTAAAAGAAAGGCGTTTTTTGGGGTGCTTTTTTCGTTGCACCATGCAAGGAACTGTTGTTGTTGCTCGGAGAGGGGCTGTACGGGGGCTTGCTCGCGGAGGATCGTGATCATTTTGCCAAGGCCAGGCACGACGTCCCTTTCAGATGGCCATGGCCACGTTAGCGTTGTTTGATCTTGTTTTGGACCGCCCCGTTGTTAAAGAGCCAGCCAGCCAGCCAGCCAGCCAGCCAGCCAGCCAGCCAGCCAGCCAGCCAGCCGGCTAGCCAGCGACTTCGGTCCTGGACTGAAAGATCGACCATTCGTGTGTAGGAACAACTGCGACGTGCTGAATAGATTCTGGGCCTCTTACGAGTACAACTTGATGGACTTGTGGCGTGGACCTTCAATTCAAACGCACCCGTGGACCGCACGTGGTCATCTGTACACCCACGACTCCCTTCACGCACGTTCTATGTACTGCTGTACGGAGATTGATCCAAGGTGCTTGGAAGCTTCGTGTTGTGTGGCAGTCTCATGAACGCACTCCGCTCGGTGTGTTCCCTTTTACGAAGTATTTTCTTGTGGTGCGGTCTCGTCAAAGAAGGAAGACTTGGCGGCTATTTGCTTCGTTGTTGTGTACTCTTTGTGTTTTTTTTCAATGTTGAACCGTGACTGACTGCTACATCCGTTCGACGGGATGCTGCGTTGAAGTCCTTTCGGTGGTTTTTTCGCTGGTCCCATGGTCGGTCGTGATTCGTTGGTTGGTCGACTCACACGACGAGCGGCTTCGTACCGTGAGGTGAACCGTCGGGTCCGTGCGTGCGCGTTGTTGTTGATGTGCCACACGTGACTTGGTTTGATTTTTTCAATGAAAGGCAGTTAGTTGCCAGGGTTTGAAACTTGCTTGCTTCCCCCGGCCCACCATTGACCGCGCCGCCGGTGCTTGATAGCTAAATGGGCGTGGTTCGGAAATACTCTGCCCCCGACACGGGAATTTCACAACGTCGGTTGGATGTGGTACCTGTACCTGATACGCAAACTATACATTTAAATATTTCGTAATCAATCCCACTTCGTTGTTTTATACAGACAGCTGCTTTCAGTGTCTTACGTGCACGATGGCCGTTGCCACTGCCTACTGCGTGAATATTTCCGATCCGGGGTCACACGAAAGAAAACATGCAAAGAACTTACACCCGTCTGTAGGAAAATATTGGAGCATGTGTCAGTGGTACCGACCACCGCATCAGAGAACTACTTGTAGGGCCAAATTATATTCGGTTACACAAACTGCAAGGGGAATAATTATTGTTTCCGGGCAGCAAGCGCAGGCAGTTAACGTATTCCTTCATATTTTCATGTTTTTACGCGAAAAGGGTTCGTCCCATCGACGTATGTATCATGACGCGACAGTCTCATCGCACCTCTCGGTACGTTTGACCAACGTATCTGTCGGGATCACACTCTCTTGTTATGAAAGCCTCACTTGGTACCAGGCGAAACTACATGAAGGGCTATACCCGCTTGAGACAATACCCCGTTCGAAGGGATGGGTTGAAGTCTTTGCAATGAGGGTTGAGGGACACGTGCGGGTACTGGACTTTTTTATTGACTCTGGACAGTGGCGCTTCCACTGCTTGTTCGTGTCAGCAGGTGAGCACAAATATCAGGAAAATGTATACAAACACAGAAAGAAAGTGCGGTGCAACCGATACCGCTTCGGTTCGTCGGTAGCGGGCATATCCACGTATGTAGTCTATGCGTACGACGTGAAATCACGCACCATGCCCGGTGGTTATGGAGCTGTGTGGGGTAGCCTAGAGCCCACGGACGTCAATTCTAAGAGTCAAGGTATTGTAGATCTGTGACATCCTGTTCCACCGATGGCTGCGTTTCAGCGCGAGCACGTCTATGTCGCACAGGCTTCGGATCTCCCAAATCTCGGCGCATCAGCTGGCCGAAAACAAGCTTCTGACGAAGAAGAAAGGAGATCTGTAGCACTGCCACATCGTAAGAACGCAGTCAACAGTCAAAAATTATAGTTTTCCAGCAAACAGCTCTGGAAGACGAGCTCTAGTCTACAGCAATTTGCGTGAAATAGGTGTCGTTTCGCTGCAACGCATTCCCAGCCTGCGTACATACATGTATGTTTTGGCGGCTGCGCGCAGAATCTGCACCAAGTACTCTGATGGGCCGTGACTCTCCGGTGGTTGCGGCGCTAGGGGTGTGGGGGCCATAAACAGGAATCGAAGTGTCGGACACTTCCCTATTTGCCCTCTGAAGGTTTCGAAGAGGCGGCAGTAATGCCGCATCGACGAAGAAGAGACAACTTCAACGTGTTTCTCCGTGGCAGGTTTCCGCGAACGTTGCTACCCACCCGGTGTGTACGTAACATGTCTATCACATGCCTTACTAAGTCATGCTAACATGTGATGATGGGTTGATACCGTATGCTATGAGATGTACGTGTTCACGGTCATCATTCGCACGAAAGTCGTCAGCAAGCTGCGACACTGTTTGCTTGATACCGAACAAGAAATGGATACCATCCAGGATGAAAGTAAACTACGCGGGGTGCAGCAAGCACGTTCTGGACGTTACTTGGGGCACTGGGTAGTCGGCCGTGTTAGACCGAGAGAGAGAGAGATTGAGAGAGAGTTGGAGAGAGAGTGGGAGAAGGAAACTCGATTGGAGAGAGACGGTGGTGGTGGTGGAGAGAGAGAGGGAAGAAGGGCGCAGCACGCACGCAAGCTCCATCGCACCAACCACGCCAAAAGGATCTCCGTGACTGCACCGGTGGTACCCTACTACACACGAAATTCCCAACACGTATCCCCTGGGATCCTCACGACCAGATACTGCTGCGAGTATATCTAACATCCCCCCTGCTCGCAACAGTCTCTCACTGAAAACTTCGCTAACACCCGATATCTCAACCAAAAGACGTCTTTCCCAGACGATATGCCACCAAGACTTTACCAGAATAACATAAGCGAGAGAAAAACAATTCAAAGGAATATCAATGCTGCATCGCGCGTAACAAATACTTGGCGCGGGAAATGAAAGAAAACGGGAAACAAAACGAGAAGCAAAACAAAACCAAAACACAACCTATCAGAAAAACAATAAAATGTTTATGCCAAATTCATCACAAAATCACGGTGAGACTCGAAAGCATCCTTCGACAAACTCTTCGTAAGGAAGTCTGCACGCTGGTACGGCGACGGCACGTGAATGACCGAAATTTCCTTCCTCTCTACCAGTTACCTGATAAAATGGTGCCTTACATCTATGTGCTTCGAGTTCGAGTTTGAGATGGGGTTCTGCGCTAGTTGAATCGCCCCCTGGTTGTCCTCAAAGACGGGGAGGCACGGCATGCCGACCTGCGGCAACATGAAACGCCAAATCTGCCTCAAAAACAAAATCTCCTTCACTACGTCGCCTAGCGCGACGTACTCTGCTTCTGTCGTCGAAAGCGTGACGCACTTTTGCGTTCTGGAAAACCAAGACACAGCGCCTCCTCCAAACGTCACGATCCCCCTTGATACCGACCTACGGTCTGCTGCCTTGCTTGCAAAGTCCGCATCAGCGTATCCAGTGTACCAGCTTCGAAGATGCGCAATACCTAGCTACTGCCCTTACTGCATTCGCAATGTCTGGTCTAGTCTGAGTCGCCAGCCACATCAACGATCCTACCAGCTCACGAAACGGAAACTCTGTCGCCACCTCATCCGCATCAAAATCAGAAAGCTTCACACCCGAAGACATCGGAACGCTCCTACCTCCCACTACTCCATATTCTGCTGCTAGCTCGTCCGTGAAAGTCTGCTGAGAAATCGTCAACCTACCGGTCTCCTTTTTCCTCTCGTAAAAGCACCCAGAATACCATCTCAACTCTCCCAGGTTCTTCACTGGCACGGACTTGTTAAGGTCAGCGCCAAACTTATCACATCTCTCCCTCTCTCCAACAGCAAAGATGTCATCTACATGTACAACCAAAATCAAAACAACACATCCATCCTCAATCAAACGAAACACACAAGCATCGGCCATGCACTGCTCAAATCCTAACGCCACCAAACACCTCTTCAGCATTGCATGCCACTGCCTAGATGCCTGTCTCAAGCCATACAGACTCTTGCCTAGTTTTACAATCATTCCAGATAGAGCTCCACATCCCTGCGGCAACCACATGTACACGTCTTCCTCCAACTCCGAACGCACAAAAACTTGCTCAATATCGAAATGACGCATGTCGAGGTTCAACTCGCACGCCAAAGCAGCCAACATCCTAACACATGAAACAGAAACGGTAGGCGCGTACAACTCTCCAAAGTCAATGTACTCTCTCTGCATATCACCTCTCGCTACAAGTCTCGACTTAACCTTAGTGGGCCATCCAAACTCATCTGCCTTCCAATCGAATACCCACTTAGCGTTAATTGCGTTCTCCACTAGTTGCTACTTCGCCGGAGTAAAAGTCCCCGCTTCCAACAAGCCATAAAGCTCCCTTTGCATCGAGTCGCTCCAAAGGTGCCGGTGCTCCGACGCCATGGCCTCTTTGTAGCTCTTGGGGACACGAAGGTCGCTGGCCTGGCAATGCGGAAGGTCAGGGCGTTGCTCCGGCGGGCGCTGGTCTCGCAGCGTGGCGTCGATGTCTTCCCGGTTGGCGAGGAGCGTGGCAAATGCGAGTGGAAAGCCCGCTCCTGCAGCTCCCGGGTCCACTGCTGCGAGTGCTCCCGCCTGCTCTCCGGCCCCCGTTCCCCCCGGCTCTCCGGCCTCCGCCCCCCCCAGCTCCCTGCGCTCCTTATCCACCGCGCTCCGAGCCTCCAGCATCGACACCAGAGTGTTCCTGTCTAGCATCGAGATGAGTCCTGTGCTGTGCCTCGTGCCCGATCTCGTACGGCTTGGCAGCCGCGGGTCTGTCATACCCTCGGCCTTTGTACCCGGGCGAAGCTGCCGCATGGCGTGAGCCGTAAGCGGGGGCATCGCGGGGTCCGGCGGCGGCGGCGGCTGGTCTGGATCGGGGGTCGCCGACGGTGACGGCGGAGAGGCAGAGGACGGATTGCCAGGAGCGGGGGTCGCCGACGGTGACGGCGAAGTGGCAGAGGGCGGCTGTGAAGTCGTGGGAGCGGGCGGCGGCGTGGTCGCTGGCGGCGGCGTTGCGGCAGGGGTCGAAGAGGCAGCGGGAGCGGGAGCGGGCGACGGCGTGGGCGCTGGCGGTGGCGGTGTGGCGGTCGAAGGCGTCGGTGCTGGGCCAAAGTTGATCGAGACGACCGGCGGCGTGAACGGGGGGGGTGTCGGCGCAGCGGTGATACCAGCGGAACCCCCCTCGCCGGCTGGCGCCGACGTCACCCACGACACGTTGTTGGTGTAGACGACGCGGCCGGTGGACGCCTTGAGGACCTTGACGGTGCCGCTCGGGTGGTTGTCGCCGCCGTTCAGGTAGTAACAGAGCGTGGCCTGGTCGTCGAGCTTGGTGCGGCGGTCCTCGCGCATGAAGCCGGGCTGGAAGAACGGCAGCACGCGGAACGGCCCCTGCTCGCCGGTGAACATCTCGTGCGGCGAGCGCCGCCCGGGGTTGGCCTTGGTCGCCGACTGGTTGAGAGCGTCGGCGGCCCACTTCGCCGATTCCATCCAAAGACGGTCACCACGCTCGTCGAGGCCGGGGATGGAGGCGAAGTCGACGTGGAACACACGGCCAGCGCTGCGGCGGGCGGCCATGCCGGCCTTCATGATCCGCCAGATGGCGCTCTCGACGACGCCGTTGTACTGCGGGACGCCGGGCGGGGTGAACTCGACGCCGATGCCGTTGTCGTCGCAGAAGCGCCGGAAATCGCCGCGGGTCCACTCTGTGCCGTTGTCGACGCGGAAACATTCGATTCGTCCGAGGTCGTACCGCCCCACGTCCGCCAGCAGCCTTTTCGTTGCCGCCAGCGCGTCGGACTTCCGCCGGAGACCGTAGACTTTGTTCCACCGCGAGGCGCTGTCCACGGCGACGAACAGGTAGAGGTTGCCGCCCAGGGAAGGCACCAGCGGTCCACACAGGTCCAGGTGAACACGCCCGAGAGGCTTGGACGCCCTCGCTCCCGGCCCCCGCGGCACCGACGCTCGCCTGCCCTTCGCCTTCATGCAGTCCGTGCACGGTTCCAGCTTGCCGGTGAGCACGATGCCTCTCTGCTGGGCAGTTTCTCTCAAAAGAGGCTCGCAAGCGTGGGCAAGGGAGCGGTGGAAGCGGTTGATGTCAACGGACTTTTCGGTCGATCCAAGAGTGAACGGGGACGCACCAGGGCCAAGCGCGGCCGCACCCAAGTCAAAATCAGAACCTCCGTCAATGCTATCCAAAACACCAGCCACATTCGCAGCGTCACTCTCTGGGATAAATACGGGGAAAAAATCTTGATGTGGGGTGTCATCATAGCCATCCATGAGCTGCTCGTCGGTGAGCACACTCGTATCTCCTAGATCCATACCAGGAAAAGTACCCACACACACAAACTCGGAAGCCGAAGAAGGTACTACGTCGGCAGAGCCGGCGGGCGGGACGCTCTCACTCGCAGGTACTACACTGGTGGGACCAGTGGGCGGGACGCTCTCACTCGAAGGTACTACGGTAGCAGAGCCTGCGGAAGGAACACGCAACACGGACACCAATGATTCCGCGGAGCCCCCTTTTTGGGAAGGGGAACGCGTGGAGCCAACGGCGGGGGCGGAATCGGGGGCAGTCACGAATGCAGGCAAAGCAGCAGAGTCTACTATAGTCGCAGATGGGTCGTATGGTAACCGCATGGCATATGCTGCAGACGCTTTTTCCTCCCTAGCAAAGAGCAGTCCATTTTGAAGGGTTGCACCACGCTCGTCGTGCAGGATTTGTTGCTTTCGAGAAACAGCATGCGTGGAAAACAAGTTGAAGCTTAGGCCCTCTACTATAGACACGTCAGTGAGCTTTACACACATCGTCGTTTTTTCACCATTCTCATCCTCCTGAAAGAAACTAAGATTGATGCTACCGATAGCTTGCACTTCGAGCAGTCGACCATCACCTTCAACGACATACTTCCTACTGGCGGGAATCTCTTGCAGGTCGTACATGTGCAGGCTGCTGTTTGTAAAACTGTTGCTGGCTCCTGAGTCAGCTACCCATCTCTCGCTACCAGGCGGTCCGTCACTAGATTCAACACTCAGCAAAGACGAAGCAGATGCAGCAGACTCTACTCCAATTGTCACTCCTATCCTACTGAAAAAATCTTCGGGGTGAGACTTGCCTAGGGGCACCGATTGTGCCGTGCAGAGGTGGAGGTAGCCCGAAGATGGAGGCGCGCCAGGAGAAGGGGTAGAGGACGAGGAGGAAGCGGTGCTGCTGCTGCTCGC